ATTGCTTCTTTTTTTTTTTTTTTTTTTTCTGTACAGCCATGTTTGCTGAGGGCTGTAACGCCCGTTGGGAGGGCATATTCTCACTTGTTCCCAATGTTCTGTATCCAGCTGCTTTCGCGTCCAAAGAGTTGTCGCTTTTATAATAAATTTTATTTATTCCGTTTTTAATTTTTTTTCCCGTTCTTATTTCCTCCTATTGCCGCGTTTTGCTGAGGGCAGTAACGCCCTTTGGCAGACTCTCACGTCCCTAACATGTATGCTTTTTCCCTTTTCTTTGTTTTTTTTTTTTTAAAAAGAAGGAAAAAGAAAAAAGAAAAAAGAAACTCCCTTTCAGTATCATCGCTCCACCTACTCTCGATTTTGCTTCTCTCCATTTTTCCCCTTTTCCTTCCTCTTTGAAATTTTTACATCAACATGTTGGCAAGGGGCCAACCATTGACCAAGAAGAATATAGGGTAGTGTTTAAAAAAAAAAAAAAAAAGGTGGAGGAAGGAGAGATGGGTGGGGGGAGAAAAAAAAAGGTGGGGAGGAAGGACAGGCGGAGAAAAATAAAAATAAAAAAATGAGTTATCAAGTGAAACGAGCAGGCCTACCGTCTTCCCCTGAACATAACGCACCCTGCAAATGAATGTATACAAGGTATGTTTCCGGCCCGATACAGGCAAAATGGGGTTGCGTTGTGTTCGGGGCCACAATGATTACCACAAGTTGTTGAAATGCCGACCCAAGTCCGAATCCACATACAAGTTATACAACGAGATGACGAGAATCAAATCATTTCTGAATTACATGGTGCCGGTCACTTCCATGACGGTAACACGAGGGCGTCGCCCTTGGATAAGACAAAAGAAAAGAAAAAATGACCAAGTGGACTCCTAACTCAGCTCAGTTCGTTAGGCATGCAAGTGGCATTCAGGAGGTTGTGGTCTCAACCCCAACCTACCGTCTGGGCACGCTTGGTGTAGATGGAAGGTGCGGCTACTGGCAAAGTGCTCGGGCTTTGCGTTAGCCCTGTCGCTCCCTCCCCCCCCCTGCTGGCGGCCCCACCCTGCTCCCTGACCGCCGGCAATTAGGGCGGGGCGCAACATGCATCCCTTTGATTGTCAGAGGTAGTTATACTTGCATGGGCCCCCTGCATACACTTGGGAGTAGTGGTAGGTAGGTGGACAAGGGTGAAATTGAGAGAAGAATGGGGCTTAGTTTTGAAAGGGGGAAAAAAAAAAAAAGGAGGCCGACTGTTGGAGATGATAAGAGCAACCTCCACAAGTGGGTCCCCCCCTTTTTGTGATGACTCCAATCTATTGGTGGGGAGCTACACCAGCCGGAAATGGGGCGAACATCCCATCTACATGATTAGCGCAGGCTATGTGCAGAGGGGAACACAATTGATTGATTACTCTCAAGGCATACTCACACTAACACTTTCCAAAATGCACCTGACCACAATTATGCCCAACCTAACCGCAATTACGTCCACAGCGTCAAGGAAAACATCCTACTTGTGCGTACTTCCACAGCGTCGAGGAAAACATCCTACTTCTGCGTACGTCCACAGCCTCGAGGAAAACATCCTAGTTGAATGTGTGTGCCCTCGGTCGAGGGGATTGACTGTGCTCCCAATTGTACCTGTAGGCCATGAAGGTTACCCTTCACCGCCGCCCCCCCCCCCCCCCCTTCCCTGACAAGCTGCTGGCCCCTGGCACAGCAGCCTGTCTCCTTACTCCTCCCCTTAAGTCCAGACGTTGTTTTGCATATTTGTTGGTGGTGGGTCAGTTTTACTATTTTTTTTTTCTTCTTAAAAAAAAAAAAAAATGGACCATTTCTCGATTTATGCGTGTCATCCTTGCGCAGGGGCCATGCTAATCTTCCTTCTCTGTATCGTTCCAATTTTAACGGATGTCCTGAAGGACTTTTTTACTATTTTTTAGCAGATGGTGACGACGAAGAGAATTGTCAGCCAGGTCTCAACATGCCAGCCGAGGCTCAAAATCCGAGGCCGGTTGAAATCTCTGTTAAAGTTTTTGTGTGCAGGTTGACGGCTCAATTTCTCGACTCTCCTCTTGGAGGAGTATGTCTAAGTCATTTCTGACTACCATCTTCACCCGAATTTGGTCATTATAGCCGTATTTGGTGCAGTTGTCAGTCCAGATACAGCTATAATGACCGGGCGTTCTATTTGGGTGAAGACGGTACTCTTGACTAATTTCTGAGCGTTGAAAATCGACAGGAGGCGTAGTGCAGCCTCACTCAAAAATCATGAGATCAAGAGTGGTGGGCAAGGCCCTTTGCCTTTCCTACGAAACAAATCAGGGAAGAACACTCGTCTGTGGACTGCGGAAAAGGACCATCTGCATGTGTGTGTGTGTGTGTGTGTGTGTGTGTGTGTGTGTGTGTGTGTGTGAGAGAGAGAGAGAGAGAGAGAGAGAGAGAGAGAGAGAGAGAGAGAGAGAGAGAGAGAG